TTTTGTTTTTAAGGGAATGATGTGACATAATGGCATTTTGAATAGGGACACAGCCAATGGAATAAAATTTACATGGAGGTGCCTGCCCCTCCACCCCCCAATTCAGAATGAAAACACATTGCAAAAAGTGTGCATTTTGTGAGGGACAGAAAGGTAAGATTTTAACCCGGTTGAGATCTGTTCTTTTAACCAGCTTCAATTTAAGCCTTAACCTTTCCTGGGGTTCAAAGCCCTGCCTTTTCAGGACTTTGTGCTGAACCTGTGCGAGTTCAGTGCTACTACTTCATAAAGAACATTTTGGAGGATGTAGCACATGTAGGGAAATCAACAAGTTAAGCTCTGAATGTCTTAAAAACTCTTCCTGGACATCTGCAAATGACACCTCCCAAAAAATTCCTTTATACAGCCTGGTTGTATTTCTACAGAATCTCCGCAAGTCACATCTCTGATCTCACGCATGAAACCTAAATTCCAACATTTTAATCCACAACTTGAAGGTGTTACAGTCTCTTTAGAGAAATAATCAAAGGGAAACTTTGGTGAGCGTAATGGTTTTCCACAACCCAACAGGCAGAAGCTGCACATATGAATAAGTAGAAAGATAAGGAGTTTATTTATCTTCCTCCTACTGGAAATTCCTTTCTAGCCAAATGCATTGTATAGAAAGTGTTATATATACATATGTGCATGTGTTTGTGTGTCTTGCCTGGCAAAGAAGCATTTCTAATATGCTTTCAGATCCAGGTCCATCAGTATGGGCTTTTTTCCCCCTTTTTTTCCCTGTTTAGTATCACCATGGATTTAGGTTATTGGCTGCCAGCGTTCACTGCATGAAGCTTCCCTTTAGGCTCTGGGGGAAATTCTGCAGCCCTGCAGGAGCAATGCTGTGCCATGCCTGTGCAGCAGGGCCAAGAGCTGCCCTTGGGGCAGAGGTGGCCCCCAAGGTGCCACGTGTGCTGGCCGCTGTCATGCCGATGGTTGCCGATGGTGTTCAAGCACCGACACAGCCAGCCTGGCTCCCACTGTGAGTGGAAGAGGATGAGTATGTACCTCAGGCTTCTGGAGATTATAATCATGCCTAATTGATACTGGAGACAAAAATCCAATAACTTCTGGATACTTTGTAAAAACACCTAGTACAGTCCAAATAATGAAAGCACCAAAAGCTTGCATCATAAAAATCTCTTAGGCTAAAATGGAAATAGATACTTGCAGAAGATTTTTCTTTCTTTCCCTGACACAAAGATTTGAAAGGAGGGAAAAGTATCACAAGATAGGCAATTCCTTTCAGAGAGGTTTCTTTATATATCTCCATGTGAAAGCTCTTGGTAAGGGAAGAAAAAGTAATACTCTGAAATAAAATTTGTACAGAGGTAGCTTTTTTTGAAATTACATCCTGTTTCCCAAGAATTTGATGTAGCCTTTAGTCAGCCTTGTTTCTTACAGTTCTCTGTGCTTTGCATGGTAATTAGCTGCTCGAGTTGTCAGCAGTGCGATGCTCCTGGCTATTTCTTCAGCAGCCACTGCTGTCATCCTCAGCAGCAGCTCCTCACATCTAGCCTGCACGCCAGCCACCCATGTGTGCAGATGTTTGGTGTCTCAGGCCATACTGACTGAGGGACAGAGGTAATGGGCACAGCATCATCAGAGGGGGAAGAGACTGGAGCCCACTTCCCCTGACAGCTCCCCAAGACTTGCCACTATTTCGCTGATGGTCCACTGGAGGTTCAGCAAGGCAAGTTTGTTATGACAGATTGCAAAACACAAAGGGAAACAAATGAGACAGGTTCATCTGTGTCAGAATAAATATAGGGGAGCAGCTGCTTAGCTTAGTGGGCAACAGCAGCCTCAAAATCTTTATATTGTTTTGATTTTACGTTTTTTTAAAGTAACTAAAACATTTATTGTACAAGTGTGCTGTGGCTGTTGAGGGGGTGGATGGGACTGCCTTGCACAGCCTGCCAGCACTGCCAACATAAGCCTCACGTCACACAGCCAGCACTGACGCAATAGACTTCGGATCAGGCAAGCTCACTGAAGCAAATAGCACGTCAAGTGCTCTGTGGTGCTTGTTCCCTGCAGTTATTACAATCTCTTCTTTTAATTCAGATTTCAAGAAACATTTTCCAGCTTTTGTTTAATTTTCTTAATTAAACTATGACCACAAAGTTTAATTCAGGTTGCCAGATTCCCGGGCAGTGTGTATTCCTCTGTAATGTGAGTAGAGATGTAGTGGGGAAGAGCTTTTAAAGTGAGAATGGGGAGTTTTTTCCATGCCAACATCTACAGACCCTTTTCAGACATACCTTAGGTCCCACAATAATATTCTGCATTGTGCTATATGATATCATGACAAAAAAACCTCAACAATGGCCCCAGGCCATGTCAAATTGAAGTTGCTTGATGTGTGTAGAGCATGGTCTCTTAACTGCCTTGACCTTTTTCTAGAAAGTTTGATATCAACAGTAAATTTAGGATCCTAACAAGTGTTCAAAGCAAAAATAAATTTAAAAATTTATATTTGGCACTCAAAAGATGAAGAACTAAGAGGAAAATGTAGAAGTTTAGGGGTTTTTTTCCAAATAATGTTTGTCGTGCGTATCTTGTCTTTGATTTTGTGTTTCCAGCTCATTGTTCATCTTTTGAAAGGCTGTGTGATGATATTGAGGGAGAGATGTGAAAAGTTTTTTACTTCCTGCCCAGAGAGATGATAGGCTAGGAAGACTAGCTAAAGTTTTAGTTCTATGGTGATAGAAAGCAAAATTTCTTGCTGATGAGTATTCGAAGACTTATTTAATTACACTTCTAGGAGAGTTACTTAATTTTGTAACAGAAGTTTGTTTCTTAACTTAGTCTGAAATAGCGTGTTGCCAAATTTACCTTCAGTAGTTTTATCCTCACACAGAAATAGAGGTCATTATTTTATTGTATGTTCAATGCATTGTGTACAGCATAAGATGGTAAGTCATCTAATCCCTCCTTCTATAAGATGGCAATGGACTTGAATAGAGAACTTAACATTGTTGTTAGTGGAATAACAAATTAATAGAAGGGGATTTGGGGACAGAAAGGGAAAAAAGTGAAGAGAGAAATAGCAATTATCTAGTATTAATGTTTAAATTATTAAATATCCAAAGATCTTTGTGTTTCTGTCCATCTTGTTAGGTTCACTGGCAACATGAACACTGTTCCCCTGCTCCAGTAGCAGGAAGGTTGCACGCGGTGCTATGCAGTTCCTCGGGGACAGGACTGAGGTCTGAACTGGGCTATCTGCTCAGGCTGCAGCTTCTCTTCTGCATTTGTACATCAGATATGAGTAATTCTCCAAAGGCTGACTTTATTGCGTGCTTAGTTCCTTTGCCTTTGAAATCAGCAATGTAATTCGTGGTGAACTGTAAAGCTGATGGACTTGTGTTGCACAAAAAAGAGTTAATGCAATTCATTTGTTTAACAGTCAAGGGCCATATTCAGCAAAGATTTAGCAGGAGTGAAAAGACAACAAATAATAGCCACAAAAAAATTAAAACCAGAAACTGTTCCCATGCATATGCGTGGCTGCCGTTCTCCTACCCTTGGTTACAGCTGGTGGGCTGCAAGTGGTTGCAGATCCAGTCGCTCAGCTTGGGCTGGGGAGTGGTGGTGAAGGTGTCTAGGAGCAGGATTTGCACAAACTGACTAGTGGGATCATTTGGTGCCAGTAGGCACAGAGGTATTCATTTTTGAAAGTCCCTGATGATTTTTTTGGGTGCATAAATACACATGTCATAGAGAAGTCTGATTTCCAGATGAGAAGAGTTTGGCAGTTTGGAAAATCAGATTGCGTTGATATATCTCCAGGTGGACACCTGAAAATTAAGAACATCCGGGTGTTTTTTGAAAATAAGAGAAGACCAAGCTCACCTCTCTGCTTGTTTTTTGGGGACAGTAATTAATCAGATTGGGCTTTTTTTATGTCCCCTCCTCCCACATGGGAAGACCTCGAGCCCCAGTCCCCTGCCTCCTGAGTTAGTTCTGTTCTGCAAAAGGAAGAAAACCTTTCTTTGGGGAATTGTCAGGGAGTTAAGGTGGTGAAGTAAATCCCCAGAAAACTTGCTGGATGCAGCAGCCACATGTGTCTTGTGGAGAGCTGCAGGAGACAGGCATCCCCTCAGCATAAGTATCACATCCAAGGTATGCCCTCTCTTCCCAGTTGTGTTGGGCAGCGCAAGCAAACTGGGCAGAGGGCAGGCAGGAGAGCGGGGAGAGCATAATTATTGGTGGCTGGTATCTCACACTTCCTTGTCCTTGCTGGCAAAAGTTTGGGTCCTAACAAACAACTAAGCTGAGCATGTAGGTGAGGCACTGGCTGGCTGGTTCCTGTGGGAGGATAGCTGCTCTGCCACATCTCTCAGTTCCTCTCTCCAGAGTGGCTCCGGAGTGAGACAAATTTGGGAGAGCCGAATTCGTCTGCACCCTCAGACCCACAATGTACAGGTGGGTTTAAGGTTGGCATTTTGAGAAATGGTAGTTCCTCAGGACAGCTGTGCTCAAGCTCAGTGTTGCTGCCTGTGCTGTAATCTCTGCAGGTGTCGCCTCAACAACATAGGTGCATACATGGTCAGATTTCACATAGGCAGTGTCACTGCAGAGTCTTTCCTTCACAAAGGATGTGGAGAGATGTTATTTATTTGATATAAATAAATGCTCATATATATAATACTCATGCAATAGAGCCAAAACAACAGGAATCGCACCCAAAAATGGTGTAAACAAAATCCTATGAATTTATAAAATATGTTGCAATCATATGTAGACTGCAAATATTGCATCTTCCTGTTGTGCTGATGGGGAATAATTTGAGAATTTTAAACAGTGCAACTTCTCAGATGCTGGAAGGACTTGCCCTCATTTTGAAACTGCAGTAGAGGGTGAAATATATTTCATGTGACAACCATGTCCTCAGACCTATTTGTTATTTCTTTTAAAAATATAAACAAACTGTTTTCTCATTTTGTTTACAGGACAGTGGAACAGGAGATAACAGCTGCATTGAAGAAATATTACGGGTAAGAATCCTTAAAAACCACATTTTTCCAGTTCCATTTTGTTTACTCTGAAAAACCAAGAGAATAACAAGAATATTGCAGTTACTGCTGTTAAAATATTGCTCTTTTAGATTGTAATCTTTCTAAGAAAAAAGTAGGTAAAATTATTTTCTCATGAAAAATCTGTGAGAACAACATTTCAAAGCCTGTAGATTTCACTGCTACTTTATGCCAGTACAGTTGACCTTCACACATGGAGAAGAAGATAATGGGATAAATTATAAACTGAAATGTACAATGATGTTTCAGGTTTACAAACCATGCAAAGTGCATGTTTCCATTAATCATGACTGTCAAAAATCTTAATTTTGAAGGGAGGTCTAGGAAGGTCATTTTCCACCTGGATTTAATTATGTAATGTCATTATGTTCATTATGTCCATTATATAATGACAGTGTGCAAAATCCATACTTATTTCCATATTTCATTATTATTTCTTTTATCTTAGTAATTTCTAGTTTATTTTCATGGAGTAAATTAACATACATCCAGACATGTCTTGGCTTGAATCAACTTTGATAGTGATTATTTTCTGTGGCAGACGAATTTCCAGACAGTGAAACTTTTCCATATATTTTAACTCATGGGGTTTTCGGTTCTTTTTCAAAAATGATAATTCAGTAATTCATAATGCTTATAAATCTGATCTAATAGTGATTGAAACACAAGGGAAGGTAGATGGAATGATAAAACCTCCCTATTACTGTCTGCGCTTCTACCTCTTGGATATCAACTACCCAATATTTCTGACAATTTATAAACTACAGGGCTATAAATATTTGGTTTAGAGATTAGTAGTGGATTACACCCATTGTTTCTAAAGGCATTTCTCCATTCTCCCTCAGTATCTTAAATGCAGCTTTTAATTCTTAAGCTGGACAAAGAGTTTATTGACAGTTGATGATGATATATTGCTTATGGCTCCACTGGCAGAGTTTTTGCTTAGCTAACATTTACAAAATAGGCTTTTGTAAGACTGAAACGTATATTCCACAAACCTTAGCCACAGTCCTGCTTGTTTGTCACAAATTAGTAGCAGATATCATGAATTCATGATTTGATGAGGCTCAGGCACCCCTTTTTTATGCAAGGCTTTTAAAATTAAAAGTCAGAGAAGCTGACTTTAGGTTCTGCAATTTGTGTCATGCAATTAGGAAAAACGTAGAAGAGACACAATTGCTTCCACACAGAGAAAGATGGATATGTAAGAGACCCCAGCTGAGAAGAAAAATGCACTGTATGACTAGAGATGGTAAGGTGTATCTCCAAACCTGTGAACACAGCTGCTACTCTCTCTTTTTTTCCCTTTGGCATGTTCCTCAAGAAATATTTTTATCAAGCTTGATGATGGGCAGCCTCTCCAATCTGCTCATCCTCCGGGTCTGCAACCTGGATATCGCTTACTATTCTGAAATTCCTTCATGTCTCTATGTCTAAGATTAAACATAAATCTTGTAGGCTGTTACTCTCTATATAGCATTTCTACCTGAATCTCTATATTCATAAGGGTGTAAGTCTCAGGTCCAAAATTCTCATTACACACTTTGATTGCTGCAGCATCCTTCCCTTGTTTTTGACAAATGCAATGTTACCCACCTCGACTCGTGCTGCTGCGCAGATCATTTTCCTAGCTTGACATCTTGCCCAAAAACATTTGTCTTTACATCTCACCAATGTCATCTCCTTCTCTATCACATCAAGTACAGCTATTTGTCTCTGGTTTTGAGGACTCAAGTCTACCAGTCCATGCTAACATGTTAGATCCCACTTTCGCTTACCCAGTGATACCAGCCCCTGTCAAAATGTTGCTAAGTTTTACATCAGTGAATTTCTCCCATGCTTCCCCTGAGATCTGGGAAGAGCCTTGAAGACTTTCCCAATAAGTTCCATACCTATCTTCCAGTCCTTTCTTAAGGGCCTCCTTTTTCCCAAGCATGGTGGAAAACCAGTGGTGAGGTCAGGGCAGTACCACTGTTTCTCATGCCTGCACATTTCTGCTCCACTTATACTTTCCCTTCTAGTACTCTCTCAGATCGGATATATCTATCTGCTCTCTTTTGTACTGAAAAGTGGATTTTCTGTGTCAGGAAACTGCTGTGTAGTACAAAAGCACTGCCTAGGTAGTCTCACAACACACATCCAGATCAGCAGTGGTGGTTGTCACTGCTAATTGGTGAAAACAGCAACAGTAATAACAAGTCTTTGCTATTCACTTTGTAAATTACTGGCATCCAGATTTTTCCAGCCCTCCCCATGCCCTCTTTTTGTCCTGAACAGATCCACGAAGTTGTAACACAGATTTTCTGCTTTTCTGAAACAGACTGTTTATAAGGAATGTCATTTCTATGTTTTTTGTTTGAGATGCTATTATATAGTAAAGGCAACGTTTAGCTTCTTTTCAGATAGAATATAGGAAGAATATATACAGGTGCCCAAAGGCAGACAGGCAAAAGCCACAGGAGCTTCAATACCTGTGTTCCCCTAATAAAAGATAGCTGGTGTGCTGAAATGTATTTATTATAGGAAGAACCAGTCCTACTGTATGGAGCATCAGCAAAAGGAAGAAGATGCTTAAAATTCATCTTTTTAAGGAACATTGCACCCAGTTTTAGCTGTCTCTTGCACAACACAAAGCAGAAAACATCCTCTCTTTCTAGGTAGTGTGTTCCTTGGACAAGTCAGGATGTGGCTTTTCCAAGGAACAGATACTTCCATGGTATGTCCATGTTTCCTCAGTCAAGACCAAGGGCAGTAGAAAGTGTACTCCAGATCTGCTCCGTCTGCTTCTCTGCATTCCCTTCCGCCCAGCAGGTGGGGAAAGGCAAGTGCTGGTTTGTGCACAGATCTTGTCACCCTCTGTTTTCGGAACATCACCATGGCCGGAGCTAACATCTGAACCTGGGCTGCAAAATCAGTTTAGTCAGGGTTTAAAATCACCAAATCTTATTTTGCACTAACTGAAACAAGAATTTATAGTCTTTTTGCTGTCTGGTGCAACACAGGGTGCCACAACTTAAGTCTAGCCTTTTATTGATGTTGTTTTACCAAATGTATCAAAGCTCTGTAGACTTTGTAAACTGACAGATCCTTCTGCACAAAACTGCAACTTCCAGAGAAAGCCCCCAAGAACTGAGATGCAGAACTGCTTCCAGTCCTTAAGGAGGTTCACACAGTCACACTGTCAAGATTGGAGCTGTTGTGAAGTCTCCTGCTGAGTTTATAATCACTGCAGGAATCCTGAACCTCATCTAACCCCATGCACTAATTTATATCAACTTCTTCAAAGTGCAGTGACTTCTCTGTATAACTGCAGGCACACACATTGAGGATAGAGAAACTTCCAAGAGAGCCTTCAGTGTAAATAACTCTACTAAGACCAAGTTACAGATGTTATGTCAAAACATGAGATAGAAGCCTCATTACTTGCTAGTAGATGTAAAAGGCAATTCCTTGTAAGCTTTTGCATTGTTTGAAGAAGACATGATAGAAAACTTTGAAGTGGAAAATAAAAGTTAAGACTACACAAATATCCTTGATGCTACTGTGCGTGGAGCAGTTCCTGTGTGAGTTCCTGAGACGTGGTCAAAGCCAACCTATTCACTTCCTTGCTAAAACACAGACTTGCTAAGCAAGATTAGTTCAGTTCTGGGGTCCCCAGCAGAGAAAGGACATCTGCCTGTTGGAGGAGGTCCAGAGGCGTGCCACCAAGATGATTAGAGGAATGGAGCACCTCTCCTGTGAGGAAGAGCTGAAAGAATTGGGGTTGTTCAGTCTGGAAAAAAGACAGCTTAGGGACGGTCTAATTGCAGCCTTCCAGTGCCTGAAGGGAGCTTATAAGAAAGATGGAGAGGGATTTTTTACAAGAGCATGTAGTGACAGGACAAAGGGGAATGGATTCAAACTGAAAATGGATTTAGATTAGGTTTAGATTAGATATTAGAAAAAAAATTCTTTACTCTGAGGGCGATGAAGCCTGGAATAGGTTGCCCAGAGAAGCTGTGGATGCCCCATTTCTGAAAGTGTTTGAGGCCAGGCTGGATGGAGCTCTGAGTAACCCAGTCAATTGGAAGGTGTCCCTGCCCATGGCAGGGGGGGTTGGAACTAGAAGGTCTTTTGAGGTTGCTTCCAACCCAAACCATTCTGTGATTCTATGATAGCAATTTTGGCTGATTTCTATTTGAATATATTAGTGTGTGGAACCATGTATTTTGTTACAATTGGTGGAGTTTGGAGTAAACATTTGTTTTGCTGTAGTACCTTCAAAAAACGGGAGCAACAAGAGTCCTACCTCTCTACTAAGTTAACTGTTGCAACCAATATTGGATGCATTCTGAGTATATTTTGCTATGGATTTAAGGAGTAAGGGAGTGTGTCGAGTGCAGGCAGCTCTTGATTTGTAAGGTAAGTGGTTGGAGATTATCTGGCTATTCTTACAGTCTTAACTGTGATTTTCTACAGTTGCAGTAGCTTTGTTGAAAGGAAACCCACAGGCGAGCTGGGCTTTTAATTATTGAAGATGTTCTTTGTGAGTTCCCTGGATTTTTTGTGTTGACATGACAGGTGTCATTGAACTGGTGAGAGACCAACATACTTTGAGTGTTTAGCCTGCAAACAGTGTTCATCTGCAGGATGAGGAGACAGTAGGAAGCTGATGGAGCAACAGGAATGCAGAGAAAGGACTGGAGAGAAACCAAGCTCAGCAGTTAACACAGAAGAAGCCACCTCCTTTGAAATGGCATGGAGCAGTGGGCAGACAGGATGGGGTGTGGGGTGGAGAACAGATAAGTTTCTTTCAAGGAAGATGGAAAAAGCAGTTGGGGAGGCAGTGAAAGGACAGGAACTCTAGCTGTGAACATCCGTCCCAGTGAAGGACAACTCTCTGTGGTGTCATGAACCTCCTGTCCAAGGATGAACACCCTTTTGCAAATTACCTTGCAAATGTCACTCCTCATGGCCACAGG